TGCCCCAAAATATATTAATAATCACCAATCTTATAACAAGCCCAGGATTCCTATTTCCTACCTCTCTGTCCCTCATCTTTTCCACTATAATCAGGCTCCTCATCAAAAGTCCATTTCCTGCCTGGGTCTAAAGCATTAATCCCAGACTTATAGGTGAATATTATAGCAGGAATAAATCTTGCCTCCTCTTGTACAAAATAATGGGAATGGTCAGCTACTGGCATAATGACACATGGTGGAGTTAACAGGTCATCTGCAGGAAAACAATTGCAGTTTGAAAGAACAATTAAAGCAGATAGCTCACTACCCCTGCGTCCTTGCTGGAAATTACAGTATTCTGGCATTCAGAGTATAATATTCTAAGTCCAGAACAAGTATTTTGGGACTGACAGAGGACACGGCCCACAGGATCTTTCACTCAAGTCACATTCTGATAGACTTCTCAGTGAGTAACCTTTACTTTTCCTCTTTGCAAACATGTCTAGAATTTCTCAAACAAGTCATTATGCACACTCTTTCGCTCTAGTGACTCTGCTAGGCTATTTCTGTCCTGCTAACCACTTCCTGACCACTGTTCTAGTGGTTTCGAGGTCAACTCAGGCTCAACATTCTGAAGGCTGATACTTGAACTCAGTCGACCAGCTGCCCCATGTATCATAAGCCAAAGAGAACCAAAAGTGTTTTCCTCGGATTCACTTAGTGTTGGTGTAAACTTCGTATTTCCAAAGAACTATGGCTAGCAAGAAACACAGTGAACCGAGAAATGGTCTAATTCTGTATTTTTGAAATGATGTGAGAAATTATATTTCAACTAGAAGTCAGTATCGTCCAAAAGTTAAACTATTTTCTACAATTTACAATAGAGCAACAATATATAATTATCTACTTATATTTATTATCTTTGCATTACATTTTTAAAAATATATACAATAGAAAGTAAGAAAACTGAAGTTGCATTCATTCCTTATATTCTCAAGGTTTAGTATTTCAGTGTTGGCTTACTTTGCACTACTTAGTAAGGTTTTTTAAAGCACATATCACAGGCTTACGTTGACTGATGTTGTAGCTGCCATATTCTACCAGAAGTGGCTTGTCCGAAAGCCTTGAACTGCACTGGAGTTGAATGTGAACCAGTGGGCTGGGCACACGGAAAATCGTCTGATGATCCACGTAAGAGCCACAGTACCTGAGAACACACAGACAGGAGGGCTTGCAGCTTGAGGGCCTGTCCACTGCATTCCTATTGACAGTGAATTCACTACAACTTTGGTCAGCCAGATTTCAGAAGCAGGGATGTGTATGGCAGAGCTAACAGTAGTTATCCGGCCCAGGCTAGGGAACTATGACCCAGTAACTTTTGCTCCTCCAATTTCCCCCCCTACTAACAGAGCAATCATTGTACTATCCACTCATGGCTTTCCTCACCAACAGCTATAAACAGAGCAAATGACTGAATGCTTCTAGTCCTCTTTCCTCTTTCAGTTAAAAAAAATTCTAGTAAGAAGAATTGCACAGCAGAGTGGAATGCTTGAGCTGAGGTTGAAACTATGCTAAGAATTCTATCAACACTTGAAGCAAAAGACAGCAACATCATTTCCGTCTAAATTGAAATTTAATGTGCATTTCAGGGCTTGTCCTTGGCAAAGTTTTAAAGAAGTACTGTCTCTCTGTAATATTCCCCTACCTTCATTTTTTTCCCTTTACATCTCATCGTCTGATGCCACCAGGGTTTCCATTATCCTTTTTAGAAAATGTCCCTCTGGTGAATAAGTCTTACTATATGAGCCCTGTGGCTCAATGGAGTACAAATTATATTATATTGCAGGCTCATAAAATAGACTATCCGCCACCCCAAGTGGGCAAGGCTTTTTCCAGGATGAAACCTACAACATCTCCATGGGAACAGAGAGCAAACACAAGGCTTAGGAGTGACATCCTCCTCGGAACCCATAAACACCAATCACTCCAGATCCCCAGGGCGCTTGGAGACCATATATGTCCCATAGATCAGAGACTGGTGTTTAGGAGCACAGGTAGTCTATGGTTGTAAAGCTAGAGACGGGGAAGCATTCACATGGAATTCAGGAAGTATTGAAACAGGCTGGAACTCAGAGAGTGATGGACTGGTAGGCCAGCTCCTGGGATAAGAGAATGCAACAGCTGTAGATGGCCACTTGGCCAAGTGGGAGGCAGAGGCTGAGAGACCAGGCAAGCTTTTGAGGCCAGTCTACTCTAGTCAGTCATCTTGGTCTTGG